TAGCCCGGGCTGTCCTGGAACTCACTCTGTAGACCAGGCTGGCCTCGAACTCAGAAATCCGCCTGCCTCTGCCTCCCGAGTGCTGGGATTAAAGGCGTGCGCCACCACCGCCCGGCTCAGAAGAAATTTCTTAATAACTATTGGAGCACTCTCTGTTCAGGTAGGGTAGGTCTCCCCCCATCCTAAGATGTCTACAAACACCAGTAAATATTTATAGACTTTATTTCAGTGAAGTCTAACTCCCAATTTTTCCCAGGCCCATTTTCCTCAATCCTGGATCCCTTGTGGGATCTTTTCTCCTTGGTTGGGTTTGCCTCAGAACAGGTGGCACATCTAAAGGTGGTATCTTTAATTAGACTTTAAAATTTGGAACATAATACTTGGGTCTGAGGAGTTCAACAGTTTTCTTGGCTCCTAGATGTGTGGCTTGGTAGAGATCTCTTAACTATTCACCCTCTACAATTCATGGGAAGGATGGGTCTGCTATCCAGCAGCATCTCTATTCTTTATCCTGTGTGGCTAGTTCTTGTTTCACCCAGTCAGCCTCCCCTGTAGTGTGTTCTAAGTGGTTCATGAGCTGAGCTGTGGCAGGGCTATCAAAACTTGGAGAGGCCCCACTGATTCTAGGGCTACTTTCCAAATGACCTGAGTTAACTCTAGCTTCTGGGGAGTCCCCTTTTTTGAATTCTTCCCAATGAATATTGGCCATCCTTTTGTATAACCAGGTAAGCTTCTAGTATGGCCAAGATTCCATCTGGTTTTGATTACTTTCCCTGCTAAGGTTAGCAATTCTGTTTTCTCTGCATGAACCCCATGGACCTGGGCCATGGTTAAAGCATATTGCTGATCATTGTATTTAATGATAGTGTTGTCTTTTCCCACAGTAGAGTGCTTGGGTCAAAGCTAAAATCTCAGCTTCTTGAGGTGAGGTTCTCCTGCTTAAAGACTGTAAAAGTAATTTATCTTTCTACATAACGGTAGACTTAGACTTACTCTGATAATCTCATCCTTTCTAGTTCTTTCGGAACTCTGTGCTGGTTCAACTCAGCTGTTCTGGCTTGAACTCCTTTCCAAGCTGACTGATTCAATCTGACTTTTCTCACCTTTTCACTGAATTGCTCTGCTTGACCTCAAACTAAGTCTGGTAGTTTCTTTTGATCTCTGCCTCCTTATTCTCTGGTTTCAACTGCCTCTGCTGACCTACATTGAATTGTGTGACCTCAACTTCACTGATGCATAGAACTCCCAACTCAACTGAACTGTACTCACTGAACTGACTGAACAGAACTGGCTGACTAGAACTCAAGAGTTCTGCATGCCTCTGTCTTCTGAGTGCTGGGATTAAAGGCATGTACCACCATGCCTGGACCTGAGTTTTTCTTTCCCTGAAACTTGCTCTATACCAGGCTGGCCTTGAATGCAGAGATATGCTTGCTTCTATCTCCTAAAATTAAAGGTGTGTCTATATTCCAGCCAGAGCAGCCTTGTTACTGTATCGAAATTCCTGT